TTGTTTTTTTTTTAAAGCCCTTGAAGAGCTCCTCCTTAAATAAAGGAGAGAGACAACATGCTAACAACTATGAAAAAACAAGATATATATGTAGATATAGATGATATATACACATATAGGATAAATTGGAGATTATGTCTTGGGCACTGGCACTGAAAAGGCTTCTTTCACAAGGTAGGGCTGTGTCTTAGATTTCACAGGAGCCTGAGAATCCAGGTGCTGGAGAAGAGAAAAGATAGCATTCCAGGCAGGGTGGACAACCAGTGAACAGGCTCAGAGTATAGAGTTGGAAGATCTCATATAAAGAATAGTAAGGAGGCCAGTTTCACTGATTTATAGAGTGTACGGAGGAGAATAATGTATAAGAAGACCAGAAAGGTAGGAAGAGAGCAGGTTAGGAAGAGCTTTAAAAATCAAACAGTATTTTATAGTTGATACTGAAAGTAATAGGGGCCACTGGAGTTTATTGAATGGGGGTCAGGGAATGATATAGTCACTGGCACTTAAGGAAGATCAATTAGAAAACTGAGATGAAGACAGACTAGGATGAGAAGAGACTTGAAGTAGGGAGAGCATCTAGTTGCAATACCAAGGGGTGGCAATATCAGAGGGGAGAAAGGAATATATACGAGATGTTACAAAGGTACAATTAATGGACCTTGACAATAGAGTGGGAATAGGGGATATGACAGAATGAGGAGCCAAGGATGGCAACTAGGTTGTGAGCCTGAGTAACTGGGAGGATGGTGGTACTCTTGACAGTAATAGGAAAGTTAGAAAGAGAGAAAGGGATCAGAAAAAAGATAATGAATTCAATTTTGGATGTTTTGAGTTTAAGATATCTATAGGACATCCAGTTTGAAATGTGTAACAGGCATTTTGAGGACAAGAAGGACAGGAGAGAGTGCAGACAGACAAATAGATCTGAGAATCATTTGCATAAAGACAGTAATTTAATCCATGGGATCTGGTGAGAGATAGTGTAGAAGGAGAGCATAAGACAGAGCTTTGGGAGATAGTGACTAGTGAGTGTAACCTGGATGAATATTCAGCCAAGAAGACCAAGAAGGAGTAGGTCAGACATGATGGTTTACCTAATGAGAAGCTATTTAAATATATAGAATGATGCAGTGATTGATTACTGGGTCTTCAAAATGTTGCCACATTTGACTGCTGAAGCAGTTGCTGGAATGGTCCTGCCGTTCTCTTTTGCTGATATTCATAGGCTCAGAGATACCAGGCCAATCTTTACTTTCTCCTTATCTCGCCTCTCTCCAACCTCATCTCTGTTCCTAGTTCTCTCCCCTTAGGAAATAACTTTGTAATTACATTGAATATATTTTGTATTTACTTAACTGTATTTCTGTTGTTTTCTCCTTCCCTTATAAAATGAAAGTTTCTTGATGGCAGGGCTTTTTTTGTTTTAATCTTTTTATATTTAGTGCCTAGAACATTTAGAACATATATTTAGTGCCTAGAATGTGTAGTACCTAAAATATAACATTAAAAAATGCTTGCTGAATAAATGAAGATCTGAAGTTCAATTATTTTTAACTATTGGAAAGAAGCCAGATCTTATCCATGGGTGGGGAACCTGCTGCCTCTAGGTCACATGTGGTCCCCTTTAGGTCCTCAAGTGTGGCCCTTTCACTGAAATCCAACCTTCACAGAACAAATCCCTTTAATGAAAGTATTTGTTCTATAAAACTAGGACTGAGTCCAAAGACCATACCTGAGAACCTAGAAGACCACATATGGACTCAAAAAACAGGTTCCCTATCCCTGAATTGTATGCCTTACAGCATAATTCATGGATTCATGTTCCAAAGAGATAATAAAGTGAATTTGAAATTGCTAAAGAAGTAAATATCATTTAAATGCTTTTTATGCTCTTAATGTAGTAAAAAAATGCACATGGAATTCCATATATCTTATTTTATATGTTCTCAGAGGCAACTAAAATATATGAGTACACTAAAATCATACTTAGCACTGTTGTTGAACATTTCCTCATCACCCATCAGACAACAAAGTTCCAATAAAAACAGGAGACAAGGACAAATAAGACGCATTAATCCCAAAAAAGTTTACTCCCTAAATAATTTAATACTAAAACAAAATATCCCTTTAAAAATAACAATTAATTACAAAGAAATCCCAAGTTTATGTAATTTTGCAGTCACATTATACTATTTATGGTCATTGGCATTTTTATGCATTTTTCACCAAAAGCCCCTAATTATTAAAATTGACCAAAAGGCCTCCATGTTCTAAATTTGTTATCAGTGGTTGATAACAGAAAACTTACACAGCAAGAAAAACCACACCTAATTCTCTCACAAAATTTACAATTGCATATGACCATAGATGAATTCCTTTTAGTGAAACATTTCAAATTGGTGTACTCTGCTATGCTATGCTATGTACACTTCCTTCACATTTTTGTTTGTTTGCTGTTGTAAACAATAAGATAACCCTGGAGGACTATGCCTCAAGGTCAGGAAAGGTTACCCACGACTGCTATTAGAAGAATCTTGACTTTTTTCCCCAAATCAACTGCATTCAAGAAGTGAAGGCTGTAAAATCAGAAGATTCTCATATATTTGTCTGTGGTACTTGTTACAATGATGTTCAAAGAGCATTTTCATTCCCAAGGAGACGTTTTATTCTTCCCTACTTGACCCCTTTTTGATCTGCCTATTCTTTGCACAGCACAATTGAAAGCATTTTAGTCTTATACAGTTCACTTGTTTCTTCCCAACTGAAATGGTAAATTCAGTTCAGAAAGGAATCACCACTTAGTATTCTTCTAGAACTTTATGAACACCCTACACAAGTACCCAGAGGCAGGAAAGGAAAGGACAAAATGGAAAAACAGCTACCTGTCTAGTATGACTAGAATGCATAATGAAATGAAATAACCTTAGGAGGCATTTTGTATAATGAGAAACAAAGTTGGAGAGGAAAGTGAAGTCTAGATTGTGGAGAATTTGAAATGTTCAGCTAAGGACTTTATACTTCATCCTATTGAAAATACAGACTCTCAGAAAGATTTTGACATGACAAGATTTTGCAATGGGGGCTTGAAGGAGAAGTGGATGCATAGATTAACAGGTAGTATCTGAGAGTGTTCTGAATTGCTGTACCATAATTTAAAATAGGAATAATGGGCTCTTGGCCAGGGAGGAAGTTTACCCAATAAGATATGATAAATATGCATTTATCTGGAATTTTGCAAACCTGACTGTGGTGAAGTTTTAGATATACCATTTCCTCAGTGCAGAGGGAGAAGCTTCACAGAACCTAGCTACATGAGTTTCTGGGAAACGTAGACCCAGATAACACTGTTTCTTTCCATCATCGAAAGACTGAGAGACCAGATGAGGATGGACTTAGGGTTGAAAGAGGATAGGAACTGAGTCATATAAGATGGGGAGAAGTTGGAGGGAACTCCATTGGGAGAGATTTTTCCAGGAGTCAGAGGGGTCAGATTGTCTTGGCCAATGTTGTACTTCAGTCATGCAACTCTGTGTGCTTTGGACACTGGCTTGGGAGGAGAAAGGCTAATCAAGGGTTTCAAATGGAGTTGGCTGAATGAAAGTTAGGAAGAGATCAAAGGTCAGAGTAAAAATTTACTCCTGGCAGTAGCTGGTGCTGAACATAATAACTATGTTCCACTATAGCTGCTGAAAATGTACTGCAATATGCCAGATGGGACAGCCGAGTGCAGGGAGGGTCCAATAAGTTGGGTGGTTTCCGAAACCAACAATTCATGCTGATAGTGAACTGCCTGTTTCCTCTCCCATTTCCATCTGAGAAGAGTCTAATCCACTTGAAAGTTGCTAACTTGTTGTTTTCATTAGTTTCAAAGCCAGCTAGACAAGTGATTGATCTTAACTCTTCCTTATTGTATGCTTCATTATTTGTTGAAAGGGAAAACCAGGAGATGGGCATCAGTGAATGGCCTGTAGTATATAGAGATAAAAAGAAAACAGGTCCAAGTCTTCTGTTTAAATTGATTCAATTTGGTTTGATGCAAATGAAAAAAATATCGTACTGATAAATGATTGTTATATCTTCTACATATCCTAATCAAGGAAACAAGCTAGAGAAATTCAGAGCAGTTAATGTAGCCAATACCTGAGGCTTGTTTAAATAGATTTATGCTAACTAAAGAACAGGAAAATATTTCAGGGACGTGGCTGTTCATTCAAGTTAATTACTTCCCCTACCTCCTCCTTTGTTCTCTCCTAGCCAAAGTGCTAGCTCCACCTGACCCTCCGTGAGAGGCAGAATAAAATGCTTGAGTAAGGGTAAATCTTGTTCCCTGTTGAAGTTAGTCGTTAAGAAAATGCCCACATAAAGGCAGGGGCCATCCAAGAGGGAATAGCTAGTTTTCTGCTAGTCCAAATACCTCCAAACCTACACTAGAAAGGGAAGAGAAGGGAGAAAAATAGCTACATTTCTCTATCAAGCTAGATACCATAGAAATTAGCTATAATATAGGAAGAATAGTCAAGTCAACAAGAATTTATCAAGTACATAATATGGGCCAGGCAGAATTTATTAAGTGCCAGGCATTCTGGGGATCTAAGGCAAAGAATAGTCACTGCTTTCAAGGAGCCTACAGTCTGTCTAATAAGAAGCTTATTGTCTAGGAATAGCAGTAGTGATAACCATAAATTCAAAATGGGTAAAATCTGATAAAGGGGATAGCACTTCAAACCTATGACTTCAGACATCTATACACAAAAGGACAGATTATGAGTTCCAGTCAAGGTGAACTACAAATCCTAAAGGAAGGAAACACTAAGACATAGTGAGATAAGAATAATGACTAGAACCTGTCTCTGGAAAGACATATTTTATTCAAAACAAACAGAGTAGAAAAACTAGGATGGGGTGGGTGGTGGGTAGTAGTGGAACTCTACACTTAAAAGACATCCTCATGTGAAGAAATGTAGGAGCCATCCAAGGAAAAGAAATGTCCAAAGATCAACTGAGGTAGATTGTCATTGGACTACCTGGATAAAAAAAGAAAGAAGATGAAGGCATTAGGGAAAGAACTAACTAATGTAGCACAGATGCCTGATACTCAGACTTAAATCATAGGTTAGAATGAGATCACCAAGGGAGAGAGTATAGAAAGAAAATACAAGAATGAGTAAAACAGGGTATTGGTAAATCCCTCATAGGGATGGGTGGGAGACAGAGGAACAATGAGTATAAGAGACTAGAAAGGAAAGGTTAGATGATGCATAGGAAAAGAATCAGGAAAAAAAATAATGTTAGATACATCAGAGGAGGACAGCATCTTCAAAATGTGAACTAGATGGGCATCCTTTTTTTTTTCCTTGCTTTTTGGTGAGACGATCAGGGTTAAGTGACTTGCCCAGGGTCACACAGCTAGTAAGTGTTAAGTGTCTGAGGCTGGATCTGAACTCAGGTCCTCCTGAGTCCTATGCCAGAGCTCTATTCACTGAGCCACCTAGCTGCCCCTAGATGACTAATCTTAAATGTTACAGAAAGGTCAAGCAGAAGGACGACTGAGATTCGGCCATCAAAATTTAAAATGAAAAAGATAGTGATCTAGAGAGAGCAGCTTCAGTTTGGATCAGAAATTAGAATACGAGGTGAGTGAGTATTGAGGAAATTGGTAGAAACTAATACTTTCTAAATTATAAAGTGACTTTACTCAGTTCACCTATATGCAAGAGCATCAAAGTAATGAATAAAATGTCATTCTAGCTTTGAATGCCCAATTGTTATTTCTGTGAGGAATATTAAAGGATATAAATAATAGTCAGAATTTAAAAATTTTCATATACTGTTTAAATTTGCCTCAGTTATCATCTCCTTTATGCAAATGGGAAAACAGACAGTGAAATGTTATATACCTTGCTCAAAGATTCAATGATGCAGGAGCCAAGTTGCCTAAATTTAATCCAAGTAAATTTTTCCCCTAAACCACATGGCATTTAAAACAAAATTATCTTAAACTGAAAGTATATCCAATTTGCTGAAAAGGATTTATTAAAAATCTTTTAGAATAATATCTAAACTGTATTTAACATCAGATATTTTCTACATAGCAGCTTGTTTTGCTGTACTTACCCCCTAAACCCCTCTTTTTTATTCTTTTTATAAAGGATGTTTCTCTTGGAAATGGAAAGGGGAAGATTAGAAAATATAGGTGTTATAAAGCAAATGATATCAATGACATACTGTAAAAATAAAACTAACTAAAATTGAAATTTATACATATGGATATGTTTCAATACATACGTACAGATATATATGTTTTCTTTTCAAAATTTTAAAATGTGTGTTTTCTTTTAAAGTAAAATTTTGCTGTCAAGCTTTAGTAAAAAAAAATACTAAAAAAAATGGCTGTAAGGATGTGTCATAGTTTGTTTATTTTTTTTAATAGAAGTGATGCTTCTATTATGTCTTGATTGGCCTAAAGCCATCCCAGTATATATTTGGTTATAATCTCTACTGCTAGAAAACCAGGAATACAAATTGACACCTTTTTTTGTTAGTTAGTTTTTCTGTTTGCTTGTTATTGGGGCTGTCAATTATATAAGAAGAAAAGGGAAGAATTTGTCTTGGCTAAATTCCTAGATTGACATTATTTTAAAGTGGCAGAAATAGGAATGTGCAACTATGAATCTTATTTATTGAACCTCAAAAATGACTTCCTCAACAGCTATTTATGGGAAGGTCTTATTATTGTCTGCACAGCTACCAACTAATATTGAGTCTTCTTAGGCAGATGCCCATAGATTTTATAGTATTTTGTACTTAAGCATGTGATATTTTTCTTTTCCTTCAATTTTTATTTTATCCTTCACACTCTCTTTGGATTCCAAGTCACATCAATTGGATGAATAAAATGCAAAGTCAGTAAGACCACACATATTTTCACACTTGTAAGAAAGGATGTATCCATCCATTAGGATATATTCTGGGAGCTTTTCACAATACAATGTGTTCCATTTTCTTTTCTGTACTCGTTAGAAAGCACTGATAAAGTTCATTTTGCCTAGACTTTTATCACAATTAAATTTTGAATATTTTCTTTTTTATTAGCTCAGAAAGTCAATTATCACTTCAAAAGTAAAGCAAACAGGATGAGAGTATGTCAGAACCTCTAGCAAGAAATGTTATCCTGGACACATCGCTGACAAAAGTAATGTCTGTGTCTCATTGGAATCTGCATGTGCCTTTTTTTTTGCTTGAGTAGGATATGTGCCTTTGCCCATGATTTTTTCATTATGCAGGATACACTCAAAAGTTTGGCTTGGGGGAAACATCACTGTAATCATGGTTGTTGAAATCCTAAGCACAATCCACTAGTTGTTCTCCAAAGATAGTCACTTTGCAGTAGTCTGGGGAACAGAAGACGCAAGAATACATCTAGCAAATATCACATCCACCTGGGTTTTCACTTGTGAGACATAATTTCCTTCTTTTATTTTTCCAATTCACAAAATCTAGGTGGGGACCTATAGCCCTGGACATAGTTACCATTAGTGGCTTGAAATTCTGCCTATTGAGTCAGAGTTTTTAAATTTCAGCAGAAGTATCTCTAGAAATTTTTTGACTCTGTAAGAACCCACTAGTCCTGGCTTTATTTTAAAATGGTTTTGTATAGACTATTTTCTTCTAGAAACTTAGAAATAAAGAGGAAGGGAGACAGGATAATTTGAATGGTAACTTTAGTGGGTGGCAAATAAAGGGAAATGGTTTTTTGAGAGCTATTTTGAAATTTTGGGATATTGCAGAATTAAGTGTGCTTGATGGCAGAAGGGAAAGCGCCTTTAGAAGGAGAGATTCAAGATGAAAAACATAAAGAGAAATAGCAATGAAAAAAGTACTTAGGGAGAGACTCAAGAGTTTCAGTGAAGAGTTAGATTTATCAAGGAGAAAGAACCATCGCTTCTTAAAATTGGAGGAAAGGAGAAGAGGAACGGCAGATAAAAGAGAGATTTGGAGATACTGAGGATAAATGAAAGAGCTCAAAATAGATGATTTTAATCTTCTTGGTAAGGCAGAAGTCAAGGGTATTTGTTGGAAGATGGAAAATACATGTGGAATTGAGATGACTTCAGGAAAGAGGAGATTTAAAAAAACCACGGTATGGATAGAATAAATCAGAGAAGAGTATTAAGTATTGAGAGCTCACTGGAGAGATAAACATGGCATAAAGATCAGTATGCTGTTCCAGAAAAGTCCCTGTCAGATGAGAAATAGGGTGCTGGTGGTCGAGAGAGGATTTCACTTGGGATACATTAAGATCACAATTCTAACCCATGACTGCCATTATTTTTGTTGTTTCATGGAAGCTTTTCATTATTTCTCATTCATGATTAGGGTATCTATACTCGAAGAGAAGTGGGCCATCCAGAAGGGAGTCAAGTGTGTTTATTTGTTGTAAGGAAGCCCACAAACTAACCTATCAAATCTCTGAAAGAGATGAAGGTAGAGGAGGCAGTGAGGCTTGTTGGTGGAAGATGTGGTAGAAATAGTTGCTGTTTAACTCATCTAGGATGAGTTAAAAGTATATGGGAGAAGTAGTGGTGGGCTCATGGGTCATAGAAGATGTTAGTGGTCCAGATCTGGATAAGAATCTTGGACAGTGATGTTGTAGGTTAGGAGGAGAGAGAAATGGGTATGATTGATGATCACTGGAAGAATATGTGGTATGGAATTGGTAGGATGGAGGACTTCTAGAAAAGGAAATGTGACCTCTAACTTTCAGTATACTATGCCAAAACTGTGGTGACTCCACCCTAGTAATACTGGCAGGGTTTTTTTATTTTATCTGCACTTCTATTGGACCCATAAAATGGTTTTATGATTTCCTGTGAATAGATTCTACAACTTAGGAAGAGGAGCTAAATAGCAGGATAGTCCTAGGTTGAAGCCTATCAGGGAAAGAATACTGTAAGTATCTAGAGTCAAGTGCCTATAGTTACTACTAACTAAATATAGGTTCAAATTTCTGAAAGGAGTGAAATAAAACCAATGTAAAGGTGATGGCCTGGGAAATAGAGAGTGATCAAAGAAATGTTGATCTTGGTGAAGATAAAGAACAGGTTCAGAAGAAATGTGGCTTTAAGAGAAGGAAAAGATTAAAAGATAAAGATCATGCAAGTGATTCTCAGAATTAAAGTTCTTAGAAGTGAAGTAATTTGGAACAATTGTGAGGTCTAAATTGTAACCACCCTTGGACATGTCTTATAATCATAGGATTTAGAGCTGGAAAGCACCATAAAGATCATTTGATCTAAATGGCTTACCCATAGTCATATAGCTAATAAGTGGAAGGGCTAGTATTTGAAACCTCATCTTCTGTCTCCAAAAGCAGGTAAGCAACACAGTAGACAGATCACTGGGCTTGAAGTCAGGAAAATCTGAGGTCAAATCATGCCTCAGACATTTACTAGCTTTGTGACTCTGGGCAAGTCAACTAACCTTACAATCTCAATTGGAAAATGAGGTGGTTGAGACTCAATGCTCTCTATGTCTTCCTCAAGTTCTAAATATATGATCCAATGATACAAATCCCATAGTCTCTCATGCTAATGTGTCATGCTAATGCCAAGGTAGATTACAAAATTGAAGAGGTTGAACTTGGAGTCCAGGGAGTTCAGTTGTCATTAATATAAATATTTAAATTAGTGGGGTTGCTAATACTGATTGGAGTACAAAATAAGATTGTTATCTAAGGGCTAAACATCATTAAAGAAAGTGAGAGTATGATTTGAGGGTCAGTAGATGACATCAATAATAACCTCAAATGGGTTTTATGAACAAAGAGTGTGAATTTCAATGAAGATGCTGAGTGATGGCACCAGAGTGAGGATCTGATATTTACCGAGGGAACAAGAAGTATGACAGTTCTTTCTCCTGTTTCTGAAACCAATGGGTCACCATTAGACAAAGGAGCATGAATGAGGTGTCTCTGGGAGCAGGATAAGCCAGTTTTCAGGAGATAAGAGTATAAAGGAAAGATTGCAAGAATAAAAAGGAGTAATAGAATGAGGGTTCCACACAGCACAAGAAGCAAAAAATAAATTTCAGGAATGCAATCTAAATTTAAAATGCTGTTCTCACTTATTATTTTAGAAAATATCTTCATAGTAGCCTTTAATTTTGGTAGAATAATTTGTATAAAGAGGCTACAGAAGTCCCTTGAGGGGCTAAGTTCTCTAAAGCTAAGAGGTTACAATGTAAAATACATAATGGACATGTTCTGTCCAAATATTTGCAATCTGATTTTGATTTTGACTGCCCTCAAAGAAACATTCATTTTACTCCAGATAGTGAAGTATATGCTCTTCTTTAGCAGCCTCTACCTGTGAAACAAACACATTTTATAAATCTCTTCAAAAAACATACATTTGTCAAAATACGAACTTCAGTTCAAAAATGCTTGCAAACACATGTTCAGATTGGGTGACTGATACTACAGTATGTGGAACAGTAACAAGACTAGTTTACAGCAACTAACTAAGTTGCTGGAAAAGAGAAGTCTCTAAACTAGTTTTCTTGAGAGTAAATCAAAATACTACACAGAGTTCATGGGAGCAAAGGGCATATTTTTGCTCTTGGCCCACAGGAAAACACAAAATATAAACCATTGTTTAAAACAAAGCAAAACAAAAAAGCAAATAGTCCATGAATACATTGTGTAACTGAAGGGGGGAGGGTTTCTTTTTTGTTTCCTCTGTTAAAGCATTTCACCCAATACCTAAACATTTAAGTGAAAGGGTATAAATATATTTAAGTGGATTAGGAGGCACATACTTATACTTACAATGTAACCATTACTTAGCTTTTGTTTCTGTGAAAGTAACTTAAATTCCCCTTTGAGTGTATTTTTAAAAATTGTTGTGTAAGGACAGCAGGCTCATGAGCTTCGACAATAAGACATACTCTGAGTCACTGTCTAAATCACTCAGGATACCTTATTCAATTTCTTTCTGCAGAGTTTTGTTGGACTGGTTCCCTGTGTTTTTCCAGACATGATTAGGCTGTAGTGGGGGGTTGTAATACTGAGTCATTATGTGGACTGATGAGGACTTCAGTTCACAAAGGACACATATGCAAGTGTTCACCATATAGAAGTATGCACTGGCAATGAACATCTTCTGTGGTTTTATGTTTCTGTTAACAGAAGCCATTATTTGCCTAGTGTTATTCACTGAGCTTGGAAAAGGACAATTAAATCACAAGACAGAAAAAAAATGGGAAAATATATGTGGCCTCCTATAGGGTGTTCTAAGGTCTCTCCTCTCCACAGGATGGAATTAAAAGGCCTTGCACACACACACACACACACACACACACACACACACACACACACAGATGAATTTTTCTTTAAAAAGTGATTTGAGGATAAATTTTATATTACTTGGCCATGAATCTTTTGTATTGTTCGCCCCAGGCACAGAAATTGGTAATTATTGCTCTGGCTGAAACGTTGGTGAAGGGTACAAGACATTTAGATTTTTAAAAAGAAAAAAGATAGTGGAAACTCTAAGTCAGTGAACTTTACTTTGCTTCATAGCAAGACACTTAAACATACTGTTAAGGAATTAATGAACGTCTAGAAAAGAAAAAGCGATTACAAAAGGCTTCATTAAAAATAAATCAAAAAATCACACACACAAAAATAGATCATTAAAAGGCGTGACAAGGGCACAGAATCTGGAGTCAGAGGGTCTGAGTTCAAGTTCCACCTCTTGCACATCTATGGCTCTGGGCAAGTTCTTTAGCTTCTCCTACTCAAATATGAAATAAAGGTGTTGGATTACAGAGTTTCATAACTCCCTTTTAGCTCCAAATTTATGATCTATAGGTAACCTCATTCAATTGACAGGGTCCTAACTTGTAGATTAGGACAATTATTGAAATTATTTAGATTTTGGCAAAATATTTGCCAAGGTCCCTCATGCTAATCTTTTGGACAAGAAGACACATGGCCTAATCAAGAATACATTGATTCTGAAGTGAATGACAAACCCGAAAAATAGTGGTTAACAGTGTGAAGTCAACTTGGAAGGAAGTCTGTAGTACTATGCTTCAAGGAATCTATGCTCTTTGCTTTTTAAAATTATCATCAGTGACTTGGATAAGTAATCAATGGCAAAGCTAATGTGTTGGATGACAGGGATCCAAAAAGAACTCAATAACCTATAACAATTGGGTTGAATCCAATAAAATGAAATTTAATGGGACATATGTGAGAACTTCACTTAATTTCAAAAACATTGACTTCACAAGTGCAAGATGGAGGAAGTGTGACTAAATAGCCATTCATCCAGAAAATACATGCAGATTTTATCAGACTGCAAGCAAAGACGACCACGATTTCCAAAAATACTGACGTTCAGTCATAGGGCAATGGAGAGTTGTATGGTTTCAATATGTTACCAGTGAAAAACCATGCTGACAAAGTACTACAAAAGTATAATCAAAGAAATGCATCTCTGGAAAAGTTGAAAAAAATTTGTAGTGAAAGCGAGATGTAACTGATGGGCAGCCTGTGAGCACCATTGGTACCCATAAATTTGTCAAGAGGGTAAGACTAAACTTCTTAAGGCATTAGTAAGATCACCTGTTCCACATTTATGGGGAGACATAGGCAAACATTGCACAACATGAGAACAATTTGAAGGGTTTTGATCTGAATCAATGGAGGAAGTGTCATCGGTGAGATCACAGTCCTGCTGAAGTAACAAAGCAAATCCGACATGTATCAGTAGTATGATATGTTTGCCAAAATATCTGATGTAACATTGGGTTGTTTTAAGAGCGGCATGGTATTTTCTAGGTTATATTGACCAACAAGATAGAGGCCTAGCCATTTTCTCCAATCTCCATTAACTTATAATACTGTCTAAATGAATAATTGTGTTCTCAAGACAGTGCGACTAAAAATTAATCCATAGGACAAGGAAATATGCCCAATAATAGCCTAATGAATTAACACTGGAGAAATCTTTGATCTGCAAATCTTTAACCTGATCAGTCAGCAAAATTTTGCTGCCACCCTCCATGCACCCATGAGCTTATGCTTTAGGACTTATACAAGCGTTCCCTTCTTGCTTCAGAGATTCTGAAGGAGAACTTCACTGAATGCCCAGACTTCACTCCTTTTCAATGAAAAGTGACTTTACTTAGCCACATAAATGGGAAAGGGATGAGAATCAAAGAGAGGGAGCAATCAAACTTCTTTATAGTTGAAGTGACCCTGAGATGAGGGAAACCCAAGATTGTGAAGACTCTTCCCATATTACCCACTCTCCTCCATCTCTGAAAAAGATGGCAAACACTAATCCAGTCAAGCCACAGAAAGAAATAACCAGAGTCAGTGAATCAAAAAGAGGGCAACTTGAATTCCTTCACAGGGCCTAAAGAAAAGGGTACTGAAAGCCAGCAATAACCAGCTCTGACTCCACAGAAAGTACACAGGAAGGGTTCATGGCTGGCGAAAAGTAAATTCCTCAACATGGAAGAGGCTGAGGTAGCTTAGCAATCCAGTCATTAGATATTATACCTACCATCAAAAGAGAATGAGTCAGGGGAGAGAGAGAGAGAGAGAGAGAGAGAGAGAGAGAGAGAGAGAGAGAGAGAGAGAGAGAGTGTTCAGGATCAGGTCACATAATTCACTTAGTAAGACAGCTGGCATTTCTGGAAACCACATTTCAGGAGGAATATTGCTAAACTAGGGAGTATCTTCAGAGGATGATTAGGATGTTCAAGGAACCTCTACTGTATGAAGCATGGTCAGATAACAGTTTCACTAGATGATATATAAGGTCGCTGCCCACTCTGAGACTCTGTTTTAATTGATACAACAAATAAAATTTGAACACAAGTTGAAAGATTCATGATTGTTTAAATTTAGTTCTAAGCTTGGGCCACTAAATTTTCAATACTTCTTAAACAAGGCAACGTCATTCTCTCCCTTCAAATGCTCAGACAGCCTAAGAGACACTCCCGTTGAAAACAGTCTTGGAGCCAAGATGGCAGAGTAAGAAGTAAGTCATTCTCACCCTCTCTTATTGACCTCTGAAATCCAAGAAAATATCACACCAGGAAAAACCCTAGAACAGCTGAGCCAGCAGAAAGACAGGGTGTAGCAGTCTTGTAGCCCAGAAAGCTCAGGGGATTAACGGGAAAGGCACCTCTCTCTCTGGGGGAGGGGGATCAATAAAGCACAGGAGGTGCCCCAGCAAGCCAGCAGCAAGCCCCATCTCAGCAAACCAGCAGGAGATCTTGAGCCCCAAGGTGGTGGAGCAGGCAAGCAGCATCAGGATCCCCTGATATTCCCACTGAAATAGAAGACTTTCATTCCTTTGTGATGAAAAGATGAGAGTTCAACAGAAAATTTGATCTTTAAATACAAGATCAAGAGAGGCAAAAAAAAAGTAAATGATGAGCAAGTGGACTTCAGAAAAACCTGGAAAGACTTATTTGAACTCAATGCTAAGTGAGATAAGTTGAACCAGGAGAACATTGTACACAGTAACAACTACACTGAGTTGACTGACTTTGATAGACTTAGCTCTTCTCAGCAATGCAAGGATCTAAGACATCTCCAAAAGATTCATGATGGAAAATGTTATCCACATCCAGAGAAAGCACTTTGGAGTCCAAATGCAGATGGAAGCATACTATTTGCTCTCCTTTTCTTTTGTTGTTTTGTTTTGTTTCTTCTTTCTCATAGTTCTCCCATTAGTTCTAATTCTTCTTTACATCATGACTAATGTGAAAATATGTTTATATGAATGCATAAGTAGAACCTATATCAGATTACGTTAAAACTCAAAATCTTATGGAAGTGAATGTTGAAAACTAAAAGTAAATTAATTAATTTTTAAAAGTCTTATATTTACCAGATATTGATGGTCACAACAACAGAACTACTTCTCTGTCTGAGTGGATCGGGTTCAATGTCATTGTCTGTATCTGTTGCTCTTACTACTAATTTGTATTGGGCTTGAATTTCTCTGTCTAATGAATCCAACAATTTTATTATTCCTGAAACAAAAGTACAAAGAAGTCTGTTATATGGTTATCGAGAAATTCCAATATTCACCTGATATTAAGTCAAAGAAATGAGAAAAATATAAGATGAAAATGAGTACAACTTTATGTTATGAGGAATCAAATGATATAATTTATTTAAAATGCTTTGCAAACTATAAAACATAATAAAAAATATAGGTTAATACTGGGATTTGGAACTAGATCTATGATTTCACTGAAATACCAAACTCTTTCTACCAATGTATATTAGCACCTGTTCTGCAATTTATGGTTTTAGAGAGTTGCCTGTGATACCGAGAAGTTAAGTGATGGAATTTACAACCAGATTGTATCAACAAAAATTTGAAACAAGGTCTTTCTTACTGCAATGACAGTTTTTTGAGCTATTACACAAAGCTATCTTTCTGTTTTTATAACCTAGGGCTCATACCCATTTGCATCAATGTTTCCTTATTGGTAAACTGAATGATTACTTGATTTTACATGTCTGTATCTCATGCAGACAGAATTATAAAGAGTCTAGATCTTCCCAAATCTTCCCTTGAAGCCAGAACCTAGAAGACTTAGAATAATCAAATTGTCATTCTATCTACCAATAAGGAGAACTTTATGCAAGTTGCCATAGTTCTAGGTTACATTCTTATTAATAGAAACAAAAATATTTTTCAAATGCATATTTCAAAATGATATTCTGATATCACCTGTGTTTGGTTCGATGTAAAATTTGGAAGTTGTCCCCAGATTACCTCCATCAATTGTATATCTTATGTTATTGAATGGCCAGTCTGCATCTGTAAATACAATTCTCCCAATAAGAGTATCCATTGCACTGTTTTCAGGTACACTGAAGGTAAAAGCTGACATGTTACTAATTGGATTTAATTCATTTCTATGTGTCACCCATATAATAATTGTAATAGTAGCTGTGGAAAAAGAAACATTTTTACTTCCTCATGTAGCTAAAACATCAATCCATGTCATTCAGGTTTTGCATTTTCTTAATTTAAAAAATCCTAAAAATGGCTTTTCTTAAATTTTTAAAGTAGATTTTAACTTCTTATTTATATAACTGTACCATATGAGTTTCCTTTTATTGTTTACTCAAATTTTTATTCAAATTAAGAATTTCATGTTAACGACCAATAAAATTTTGTTTCTAAACTCATATATCTATGTACATGACCTACAGTTATTGTGCTGAGTATGAGTTCCAAGCTTCCCTTCTCTCCTACCTAGTTTTTTTTTTTTAGGCAATTGGGGTTATGACTTGCCCAGGGTCACACAGCTAGTAAGTGTCAAGTGTTTGGTCAGAGGCTGGATTTGAACTCAGGTACTCCTGACTTCAGGGCCGGTGCTGTAACCTCTGTGCCACCTAGCTGCCCCCTCCTACCTAGTTTTTTAACTTAGCACTGAAAGTCTAATAAAGAAATAAAAAAAATAATGTCCATATATAAAACCATATTTTCTTGACTCTGATTTAACTGATTCAAACAAGTTGAATTTAATTTGAAACAGAGAACAAATTATATCTAAGTTCATTTTTAGACACTTTTATATACCAAGTACATTTATATACCTCATAGTGTTGTTCCATCAACTGTTATTTTGTCAATAAAGTATGAATAAGCCACACCCTAAAAATCTATTCCTTATATATTATTCTTCAGTAAATTCCAGTAGACCAGACAAATCCTGCTCTGGTGTCCAGTTTGAGACCTTGTTCATCACTTGCATTGTTAAATACCATAGTGATATGTTGGGTGCTTTCCATGAGACACTCACTAATAAACAGTCCCATTCACACCTCAAAAACCAATACAAATGCCAATTTTCTTCATGAAACCTGATCCCTCTCTCAGTAACAACTTCCTCCCATCAGACCCTGAACAGTTTTTCTTCGTACTTCTCTGATTTAATTCAATTCATCTCAATAAACATTTAGGAAAATGTGAAGGAAGAGAGAATATTTTCAGCTAAGACATTCAGGAAAAGCTTGCTGGAGGATATGGCACTTGAAGAAGGAAGATTTTAACAGGATAATTTGAAAAAGAAGTATGTTCCACATAAGGAGATGGCTTATGAGATGAATAGAAAGTTGAGTTCAAGAATACGTGTAATCTATTGTGAATGGAGTATAAAATGAGTGAGGAGGAATGATGTTAAATCAGTCTCAAGCCAGATTTCAAAAAATTTTGAAGCAACTAATGAATTTCTTTCTTTTCTTTTTAGTTCCTGGCCCTAACATATACTTTATGAGGTATGCAGACCATTGTTATTTCACTTCCAGCTACTCTCTGGATTCTCTGAACTTTTCTACTTCATCCCCAACAACCTTCCCCCCGCCCCACCTTTCCAGTCCATGTTATGTGTTATCTTTTTCAATTATAATTTAAGCTCCTTGAGAGGAAACTCCAAATCTGGCACTGTTCTATCCACTAAAAAAATAATTAAAAGAGGAAAGACAGTAGAATTAAGAGGGATTGGGAAAGGCTTCTTGCAGAAGATGGGCTTTTAGTTGGGATTTAAAGGAAGCCAGTGAAGTCAGGAGGCAGAAATGAGAAACTTTCCAAGAATGGCAAACAGAGAGAGGAAATGCCCAGAGACAAGATATGGATGACTTCATTTGTGGACTAGCAAGGAGGCTGGATAGAAGTATAAATGGTGGCAAAAAAAAAAGGTGTAAGAAGACTGGAAAGGGGATGTTGGGTTTGGTTATGAAAGTTATGATTCTAGAGATGATACAGAATCATTGGAATTTGTTGAGAAGAGGAGTGACATGGTTAGACCTATGCTTTAGGAAAATTGCTTTGGTGGCTGAATGAAGGATGGATTAGAATGGGAAGACACTTGAGGCAGGCAGACCCACCAGCCGGATATTGCACTGGTCCAAGCACGAAGTAATGAGGTCCTGCTTCAGGGTGGTAGCAGTTTCAGAAAAAAGAAGGAGGCTTATTCAAGAGATGTTGCAAAGGTGAAATCGACAGATATTGGCCACAGATTGGATATGGGGGGTAGGGGTGGGGAGGCAGAGGTTGAAAGATAGCGAGGAACTGAGGATGACACCTATGTGAACTGGGAGGATAGTGGTGCCCTGAACAGTAGGAAAAAAGTTCAGATTTGTGGGAAGGTTTAGGGTAAAGAAAATGAATATAGATTTGATCATTTGAGTTTATGATTTCTATTGGAATGCAGTTTGAAAAGTCTGAAATGCAGTTTCATGATCCGGGATGGAAAGCACTGAATTATTTCTTATCTTCTAGACATACTCTTACCTCCCATAATGCCTCTCCCACCCCATCCCCACTTCAGGATTCTTGTGCCTGTCAGATAAGCCGGCATATCTGCTCCTCTAATACCTTGGTTCAACCAGTTGTATTGCCCAGATCAACACTAAAATCACATCAATGCAAACACTAAAGTTTATTAAAGCTTTTATAATATCATTCATTTTTCTATTTATAATATTGTTGCTATATAAATAACCGTACCCTGAAATACCCTAGTTCTGTAAAACTATTTAGCAACTTCCTTCATTATATGCTTATATACTCTCCAGTTCAGAATCCATCTTATCCAATTGTATTCTTTTCCTGAGAAAGCCCTCCTTCATACCCCGAATTAAGAAATGCCTGATTTTGGCTTTACCTTTAAATGACTGCAATGCTCTGTTTCAACAAATTGGGAATTATTCGCCAGTTCAAGATCCAGATTGCCATTGGAGTGTGTAAATTTCATTTCTAGGGGTTATTAGGTTATATTTACTCAGGGCTTTATTTGGCAACTATCACATTTAATCTTGTTTGATATTTACCCTCCTTAATTCAGGACAGTACAGATTTTTCCATTGGGTATTCTTGTCTTCCCTTGAACTTAGACATTAAGGCAGAGGTTTTTTGTTTTGTTTTGTTTTATTTTGTTTTGTTTTTAAGGTTAACACACGGTAATATATAATTCCATTAAATGCCAAACTTCTACTTGTTGTTCAGTTATTTTCAATCACATCCAACTCTCCATGACCCCATTTGAGGTTTTCTTGGCAAAGATACTGGAATAGTTTGCCATTTTCTTCTCCAGTTCTTCTCTAGAGGAAAACAGGGTAAAGTGAAAGACTTGCCCAAGGTCACATAGCTAATCAAGTATCTGCGGCCAGATTTGAACTTGGGAAGATGAGTCTTCCTGACTCCAGGCCACCTGACTCCTGACTCCACTGTGCCACCTAGCTGCCCCTAACTTCTAGTATATTTCATGTTTTCTGTTTAATAGATTTAAAGCAACTATCAGCTTCTAAATATTTTGGAGCTTCTGCCTTGTTAAAAAAAAAAAAAGATGCTCATGCACTATATCCAATAAATAAATAAACAACGAAGCTCTTATTAAAGGCAATATTTGCAAAGGAAAATACCGTACAACTCAATGTCACTTCAACTCTTCATCTAGTATGAATTCTTCAACAATCATTTATGGCCTCTCAATATTTGGCAACTGTATAATGCTTTAAATAAGACCCTACAACAGTCCAATTTCAATACATCATCATAAGGTAATCTGGACTATCACTATTTCCCATGCAATTTTAAGAGAGTTAAACAATTGTCATAATGAGGAAGTCAAAAGAACCTGTAAACCTAAGCAAGTTTAATCTTAATCTCATATCAGTTGAAGACACATAGCAGAAAAATGAAAAACAATTGCTTGAAATATGAGTACATTTTAAAATGGAGATGAATGGTGGAAGTGTATTAAAAGTATCAGCACATAAAATAGTAAATGGTAGAGAGAAAATGGCTCTGCAAAAAGCTGATCATAAAACACATTTATGTCATACAATTCTAAAAATATTTAGAGATGAAACTGGAAGGAATACAATGAATTCATACATATCCACACACACATATATGACAGTGGAGCCAACACACTTAAACTCTATCATCTCACTCCTCAATGTGTTGCTCAAGAAAGTGAACATGGCACTTATGGGAAAAAAAATAGCTGAAGCTAACTGACAAAGTCTGTCTTTGAAGTGACTCAATTTTGAAAAACCTGAGTGGTTAATAATCAAGATATCTCAAAGGAGAGAAAGCACTAAAGTACTAGAATGAGATAGTTTTATAAACAAAAAAGTGATTGAGAGGACATCTATAACGGCAGACTGACATGCATCCTTTCTCATTTCCAAAAAAGTTTGTGACAGTGATACACCAAATATAATGAAGATAAAGAAAATAAGAGAAGAAAAGGTTTTCCAATTATATCCTGCAACAGATATCTTCACATTTATGTACCTGAAAACTGCAAAAAAAAATATGATTCTACTTAGTTTATTGCTTGTTGGCAATTAAAAAGCGTTTAATTCAATAGAGTAAAATGCAGCCTTAAAGCCTCTCTTTCAACTAGGTATTTCCCAAGTAAATCTTAAAGATAAAATAATCGAGATAACTTCTCATTATTAATGTTAAGTGAGCAACAGAAGGAGATTATCAAAGTACTTGTGACTGTCAGAGAAACACATTTCTCTAAAGTTGTTAAATTTCTCCAAGTGCTCTTGTTTACAGATGGCATCATGCTTATTTCATCAAACCTGAGGAAACTACAACACCCTAAACAAGATAACTATACTTAGGTAGGTATTATTAGGTTTGGCCCAATACTACACACAAATTTAAAAGAACGTAAATCATCTAGACTATGAGATGCAATTGAATTGAAAGCCCATTGGGTTGATCAATATCAGTCCATGTATCTTAAGGAGAAACTGCAGATGAACAGTGAGTTGAGCTCTGAACTGAACAAGAAGCAAATTGAGACAGATTACATTTGGAAAATTATGCAGTGCTTCCAATTAGGCCAGGGTGCCACCTTAAACAAAAACCCATCTTTTAAATACCAACAGTCTTCTAGTTCTTCTATGTGCCTGCAAGTCAAAGAACATCACAGCCTCCAAAGAATCAAAATTTGGGGCCACCCAAGAGACAATGAAAACATATGAGGCATAAATAAACTGCAGTATAGAGATTACTGGCATGAAAGCAATGTTGGGAAATACCTACTCGAAGGAGATATGTGACTGGAAATGGAGCTTTTTCAGATATTATAATGAGAATGACAAACAAGAAATAAAAAACATGTTGCTATAATGAGAAAAAACAAACAAAAAAAATCTATAGGAAGGCCCTTAGTAATTGTATCAATTTTCTGTGGAGTACTCATGAGATGATACAAATAAGATTTTCATAGCATGAAAAGGCTTGTCTGGTTTGGGGTTTGTACCACTGGAGGAAGTGCCAACATCAATAAGACACCAGAACCACTGAAATGTTTAAATAAAATAAATAAGAAATCACTTACTTGATAATTCTGGAGTGCCTCCATCAGATACTCTTACAAAAAGAGTATATTTAAATTGCATCCCAGCAAGAACAAAATTATCATAATTCAGTTGTTTAGGCCCAATCTGTAGGTAGGAAAAATCATATCTACAATTACTTTCTTTCTTCATTGAAGTAAGCTCTATTATGATTGCAAAAATAGTCATTGATACAACTTGAGGAATCCATTTTTTAAAGAAATGTCTAAAATATAATGTAACTCAAATTCCCTCAGCTTCAAGGATTTTTGTGAGAAGCCTAGAGGGTGGATATGCTAGGGAAGCTAATCTCTCGTTTAGTCCACCTGTATCACATGTTCTGGAGAGTTGAAAAAGTAACACAGGGTAAAAGAAAACTGGAGAGATGTCATAGCTGGCAGTGGAAAGTTGGGAAAATTGAGAGAAAGGTCTTGAATAGAAATAGTGCAACATAGATATAGCAACAGGAGATGAGAGACTTGGAGCAGATGGAAATATTATTTTCCTTCTGGACAAACAGTCCAGAGAAGCTGGAGAAGCACTAGGACACATGATAAGAACATATGATGGTTGCCAGAGTGACAGAGAGCTGACAGGAGAGAGGATCACACGGCTGAAAACCAAAAAGAAGACAGGATGAGTTATGAGAAGGAGCTCTTGGGAACTCTTCTACAACTTTTAAAGTTTCCTAAAAATTGGTGATAATAATAATCATTGCTTTTACTTTTTTTTTAGTTCCCATTCTTAGGGTCAGTGACTTTTTAAATAAGTAAGGTGAAAGGTGTTTTAACTGCATGCAGGTTCTTCTCCTCTTATCACTTAATCTGTCATTTGGATTTTTTCCTCAATCAATGTTCTGGACAAATATGAGGAATACAAAGAACTCTAGACAGACTTTTATAAAATAATGTCTAATGAAAGAAGGTGAAAGAGTAGAATGGAGTGGATCCAAACTATGACTATGTGAGGAAATGTAAATGAGAATAAAAGGACTGAATACTGATTGGAACTTCAAGCATCTCATAAAAGTGTTATGATGCTTTATGTATCAAAATCAACTGATTAAATTTAAACTTATTAATCAAGCTTAGTTATTTATATTTATGTTCAATGTTATTCTAATAAGATATTTCTATTTTTAAATTTCCCAGGGAAAAGATCCCTTTTTTACTCACTTTGCACTTATAAGAACGCACCTCAACTATTTTTCCAGATAAAATATAAGAGGAATTTCTGGGGAAAAAAGGAAATTAAGAAAGAACCAAGTGCCCAAGAATGAAATATTATAAACTGAACCTAAATAGAGACGTGGAAACTTACAATGCCTGTTGGTGACGAGCCTTTCTCTAGGGTTTCTACACGCTGTTGACCTTGACACTTTACAAAATCCCTCTCAATATTTTTTTGCTTTTCCTTTCCTTGTCTTCACACTAAAGCTAATTGACAAAATAACCAAAGGCTAAATTTGTTTTTAAGTAAGGCACTATCACAAGACTGTGTATTATTTTATTTTTTATAAGACAATTAACAAACACCTAGGGATCCCCGAGAAATAATGAATCATGGAGTTGGAAATATCTAAGGGACATTAGAAATGATCTATTCAAACCTTCTGATGTTAAATTTGAAGACTGGAGCCTAGGAAAGTGATCATGCAACACGTTAGGAGCTGATCTGGAGCCTGGATCTTCTTGAGTCATGTTTCACACTCATTCTGTTGAACCACACTATATCTCTACCTCAGCACAAGAAAGGGTCATTCATATAGATATTTCCCTGAGCTCCCAGGAACTCAACTCTATTTCACAGCTATGGAAGCATTATAAATAATGAAGTCACAATATAGTCTAATCAATAACCTTTAAACTTGGTCTTTGGTATAAAAGCTATTATCAGAGGCGTAGTATCTGAGGAGCCTCCAAACTCTGGGGAATTTTTTGGGAAAATGACAACAGAGAGGCACCAAAGATAATTCAGAACCTGGAAATAAGTAATGATGTGCTAATATCTTTATGATTCCCTTCACATTTTCAACCATTCTGAGCTCTAGCTCTAGAATATTTTCAAATTGCAAGGAAACTAGAAATTTTCACAGTGACTCTGAATTAATTGAATGCTTCTAACTGTTTAGACAATTTCAGAATTTTGTTTGTGGTCACTTTTGTGTAAAAGGCAGACAAGTGACCTTCTATCCCAGAGTCTTGTCACACATTTGGTCTCTTGTGATAGCATGACACAGTGGAAAAAACAATAAATTAGAGTCAGAGGATGTAGGATTGAATTCTAGATCTTCTATTTACTGTAAGTGTGATGTGACCTTGTGCAAGTCATTTCTCCTTACTGGGTCTCAGTTTCTTCATCTGTAAAAAGAGAGGGTTGGACTTTGAGATCTGTTCCAGTTCAGAATATACAAGCCTATGATCCTACTCTTAATTCTACCTAAAGATACAGCCTTATGAAGCAAGTGGTTCAAGTATCCATATTATTTTTTTATTGATAAGCACATTATCACTTAATTGATGTAGTCACAAAGCTGGTGAGGTAAGCTTCCTGACTACGACTGGTTGGTTCACTCTCCACTCTGCTATGCTGACTCTCTCAAGCAAAATATCAGAAGAGAATATATTTATAGCCACAAGGTTCCTTAGATATCATCCACATTGAGCCTCACATTTTGTAGATATGGAACTGAAGCTCAGAGATTAAATAACTTCTATGTACATAGCAATTCATTCTAAAATAAATCTTCAGTTGTAGCACTTTAAATTTTAAAAAATTCAATAACCTAAATGAAAAACAGTATTTACTGAAATATAATGCTTAGTGCTCTATTGAATGTTGCTTTTTTTTTTCAAGGTTTTATCAATTTGAATTCATCAGGAAGATTTCTTTAGGAAGGGTTGAGGAAGGAGTAGAAATAGGAGAAAATGGAGGAAGGAGACAAATTGGGAGCCAAGGGGAGACATAAGGAAAACCTGAACTTCAATGGTTTCAGTATGAGTGAAAAAGGGCAGGGATGTGAAAGATATTGTGAAAGTGGAATAGATAGGCCTTCCTAATGAAGGGATCGAGGGAGTGAGAGAAGGCAGAGAATGTTCTGAGTAGAATTTAATACATTTAAATGGATCATCTTCCCTAAACCATGGTACTTTCTGTTTATTATATTATTTAATACAATCCTATGTTGTTTGTCATACTTTGTTTTTGAAGACCAATGATATCACAATGGTGAGAATTAGAAATATTTTCACTTAAATGAGAATGGGATTTAAGTGAACCAGAGTTATACAAAATCATTAGCTTCTCTCTTTCTTCTGGAGTCATTGAAGTCCTATGGAAAGACAAAAGTCAGGATGACTGCCAAAGGCCTGGTATGAGGTGGATGACCTAGGCGTCTTCGATGTCCAAACAAGCTCTAAAGGTTTCACAGTGTTTCTTTCAGCTGCCTTCATGGATGTTGGAACAAATTATTCTTGTCCACCTATTCTGTAAGGGGAAGTCTTCACAATGCTTCCAGTAGGTATCCCCCTAGATCATCAATGAGTTTAAAACTTGTTGGCTACCTTCAACCTGTTCTAGTCTGTCTGCTGAGATGGTTTTACTGGATTGTGGTCACTATACATGCTACAGCTCCTGAGAGCCACAAGTGAGAGCTGAGTGACAAGTGGACCCCAAAGGTGTGTGAATAGCTCTGAAAAGCCTTGGGCAAGCCCTCTTACCAGGGGTGCTAGTCCTTCCTGAGTACCTCATACACTGCCTGTAATAGCATATACCCCATATACAATCCTCTAATAGGTTTATAAATGAGTTAGTTATATTACCCTAAATTCTCACTGCAAAATTTTTTAACATTCATTGCTGATGATCATTGTAATAACATTTTGTGACTTTTTTCAAATAAAAAAAGTTCTTCATTAGAAAACAATTTGTTCTAATTTTGTTCCAATGACTTAAAAATGCATTCCAGCATTAATACTGGATTATCTGTTGGCAATTTAAGGTTAATTTGAAAACATGAGAACATATTCTGCTATTAGCTATTTAAACTACTGAACTTCATTAAAATTTTTACAATAATAAAAATACAACTTCTTTTTAATCTAAGGAAAATCTCTGTACCATTATTAGGAAGCAACTTTAAAATACTTACTTTTATTTCATTGTTGGTGAGGGTAAATATTTCATTTGAAAATTTGTCCACGATCAAGTGATAAGTGATGTTATTATTGGGATCCGTTCCATCCTTATCAGTACAAATTAAAGACACTAAACGAGTTTCAAGTGGATTTTCAGGAAGTTCAATTCTACATATGGCAAAAAAAAAAAAAGAAATATGCTATTAGCATAACAGCCTACATTCCTTCAGGGGAAAAATTAAATTCATAAATATTATTTGAAACAATATATTCAAATAGGAAATGTTTTCTCCCTCCCCTTACACTAAGGAATTTTCCTTTTAAAAAGCCTTGTGCTGATACATCTTCATGACATTGCTATGACCCTGTTCTCTCAAAGGTTATACCAGCAAAGCACAGTCTCTGGCAGATTCTAGCAAAATGCAAAAACTTTGAGTATAGATGTAAGAATTAACCATATCCGATAGTCAAGAAACAGTATGCTGAATGTGGATATTCTTCTCATCATTAGTAGTTTGTAATATTAAGTGATGTATTAATTAGCTAGGAAGCAGATTACAAATAAAACTTGGTGACCCATGGAAGTTCAGTATTCACCGGGATTTTTTTCTAAAAGTAGTCATTGGCTAGTTCTATAAATGTATAATTTCAAAAATGTCCTACTTTTTAAAGGAAAGAAAGAGCAATGAAATGTAAGGAAAGTGTCCTATCTCACACTATCTTTCTCTAGCTGTTTGTCTGTCTGTCTTTCTGTCTGACATTCAAGGCACTCTATAGTATGATGCTTCTCTACTTTCCCATTCTAATTGTTGTTTTACTACTCACCACACACTACAGACACATCATACTACTTTCTGCTTCCAAAGTACAAACTGCATTCTTGAATATTTATAATTTGTCATTGATCTCTATAATTAGTATACCCTATTTCTCCCACTGACTATTGAACTCTTTAAAATCCAATTAAAAAACCAGCTCTTCTAGGATACTTTCCCTCCCTCATCCCCTGGTTGGTTGTGGTCTTTCCTTCAAAGGTCACATAGTACTTGGCTTTGTTACTGTCTGATACCTTTATCAGGTAATATTGTGAATCCTTGTTATGTGTATGTATTTTCTGTAAGCTTCAGGAAAAGGCATTGTACTATATCTACTTTATACCTTCCCTATCATCTAACAGTGCTATGCACACAGTAGGTGTGTAATAAATAACAGTTGTATCAGATCCATGTTACTGATAAGCAATGTTGAACAGAATGAAATGTTAAAATGACATGCCAATTACTCCGAATTAACATGAATTCACTATCTATCATTGAGCTATTTCTTCTGATCCAACAGTATAAAAGAACAATCACTGTCTTTGGAGGCAAAGGACTCGGGTTCAAATTTTGGCTTTGTCACGTATTGCCTGTATGACCTTGGGCAAGTTGCTTTCTAACACATGGCACCAGTTTCCTCACCTGAAAAATGAGAGGGTTGAACCAAACAATCTTAAAAACCCATTCCTGCCCTAAATTTCCTGGGAAGCATCTCAAATCTCATATACACACACACACACACACACACATACATACATAAAAAATACATGCATGCATGCATACATATATATGTACATATGTGTTTTATATACATACGTATAATCTTCAATAGTTTGGGTATAAACTTTCTTATGCTAAAAGTCTCATAGTTAAAATTTGAAGTTGTGTTGAATTGAAACAGTAGCACATTTTTTTAAATTTTGTAACTGTTTTACAGTAATTCTACCTCACTGCTCCCACAGCTGAACAATCATCCTAGAAAAGATACTTTGTTAAGATCCATTCCAATTCTAAAGTTTGGGATTCCATGAGTCTACATGAAAGACTACTGGGCTCTAAGTAGCAGGGAAACAAAGGTGTTGTGGGAGTATAAAAGGAAGGCAGAGGTAGGATTTTCTTTCCATGACTGGGAAAATATGTTCTTTGCCCTTTGTTTTGCTTTCCCCCAACCCTGATTGGATCCTTAAACATTAGGGAAGATCATTGTTTTTATTCCAACTTACACATAACGGTCCTGAGTACACTGTGGTGGGTTATCATTTACATCCTGTAAAATGACAGTTAGTGTTCCAGTGGTAGAATGCACCCGATCATTGTCATAAGCTCTGATTTTTAATATCCAAAAATGTGGAATGGCAGGATCATCATAATCCAATGGTTGTGAAATTGTAATCACTCCAGAATCTAAAAGGAAGACAAAAAAGATCAAGAAATACAAAAATATCTAAGAGTACTTTATGATTCCATTGACCTTTGGATTCAAGGATTGATGCAATAGCCCATCTAAAATACATGATATTTTTATTTTATAGATATTTTCCTTTAATACAATGATGAAACATGAACTATAATATTTTAATGCATTTGCATATTTTATCATTTTTCTTAAATGAACTGTCAAAAGCTATCTGGATAAATATTATGATCCAACTCTCTTCTGGGTATTTTGGAGAAAGTTTACCAGGATAACATTTTTATTTCCTTTTTTAGACTAGCAAAGTCTTAAATAAAAGTGACGCTTTGTTTTCTACAGAACATAAAGTTTATATAACTTAGAGTCCATTACCTACTCATAAACAGGACTAGACTGAGATTCATCTTAAAATATGATCCCTTCTCATAAATCTAGAAATCATAGAGTCATAGATTCAGTGCCTCTTCGGGCCTAAGAAGCTAATTAGGCCACACAAAGGTTTGCATTTTAAAAATGAGGAAAGTGGCACAAAGAGTTTAAGTAACCTGTCCAAGGGCACACAAGTAGAAAAGGGCCAAGCTGGGACTCACTGGAGCCCACTGATTCCAATTTAAAGTGGGCTTCCCACTGCACCACAAGGCCTCCCTGTATGGTTATCCTCTCTTCTCTTTAGCTGCTTTCTAAGCCTCAAAAGCTGCCTTACACCCCTATGTCTTTGTCTCTGTGTCTCTCTTATTTCCTGACAATTCTTAGCACTTCCTAGATAATTCAAACAAACCATAGAGATGCCATTAATTTGAATAAATTGAAAGCACAACATTGTTTGGAAATACTGTTCATATATTTGCTATGCTAATATGTTTTAATTTACATTTTTGTTGATGTGAAGGAGAAGAGGAGGTGGGAAGGAGGAAGTGGAAGAGGGAAGAGGGAGGGAAGGAAGGAGAGGGAGAAAGAGAGGGAGGGAAAGGGGGAAGGAAGGGAAAAGGAGGGCATGAGAGACAGAGAGAGTGCCTGAGTCTGTCCTTCATCTTTGGAATCATATAACCATTAATAATTGTTTCTACTTCTCTCTTTGCCAAGGTGAGCCATGGCAGCTACTAGATTTTTGCTTCCGCCTACATGTGTTGGTCAGTCAACACTCTTTTTACACAGAGTTTAACATATGAAAATTCAAGGCAGCTGCTATGTGGATTCAAGAATGAAAAGGAAGCAGAGATTCTGGGACAATGGTCTTCCACCTCATAAACTCATGTTAATTGTATGTTTTTAGGAACCTGTTTCCCAAATCCCATGGAGAGACTCTAACTAATTTTGTGTGGAATAATGACCAATACCTTTCATATTGCATGTGATAAAATGTGAATAAAATAAATATTTGTGGCTTACCATCATTTATGGAAAACCCTTTAAAAGTTCCCACAAATTCATAATGGACAGAGTCTCCTATGTCTCTAACAGTTGCAGTTAATTTGATCACTTCTCTTCCAAGGGGTAGATTTTCATAAATATTTATAGGTGCATCTGGTAGATATCTATGGGGGAAATTTTTTATCTTTTGAAGTAAACAAAAAAGTTTTATTTATTGGACAACATATTTTAAATTTTAACATTTAAATTATTCAGTTAAATTTCATAATTCTTCCTTCTTTTACATTCTCATTCTCATTTAGTCATTTTTCTTCTTTAAAAAAATACAAGAGAAAAGCAAAAAGGATCTACGTTCTAATTTTACCTCTGAAAATGACCAGCTGTGCAGACTAAAACTTGTTAAGTAACTTGAGCTGAGTTCACTTATGGATAAAAAATGGAGAATACTATTTACTCATAGAGATACTTTGTTTTATACATTACCTTTAACATTTTAAAAATAATGATAATATGAATCAATGCAGTACACTTCTATTTACATTACTCCATCCTAGTGGGCATGGTGATTAGAAATGTTAGAATTTCAATACTTAGTTTCTTCCAAAGCTTACACAAAGACTGGAATCTCATCATTAACATTCTGGATGTTTACTGTGATGGTGCCAGTGCATGACTCCAGAGACACGTTTCCTCTGGTTCTGGCAGCAATCACTATCTGGAAACGCTAAAACAAATAAAAGAAGACAGTACATTTTTACTCCCCCAAATGTGCAAATTAAATTTACTTCACATCGAAAAGAATGTTTAGAAACCTAATTTGAAGATAGTTTGAGACAACAGCATAGTCCAGAGTAACTACTTATTTTTTTTTTAATCCTTTCATGGAGAATGGAAAATCGAGATTCCTCATGGCCCCATGTTCTCTTGGTTTTGCTGCTTCAAAAATGTGATAAAAATATAAAAACTTTAGTGTTTGGCATCTTACATTTAAAGCAACATATTAAGGTGCCATTTAGACTTACTTTTTTTAGGAATGAAAGGTCAATTACATTTCAGTTTTTAGGGAGGAAAGTCTAAATCATAACAATTCTCTCATTGCTTGGGGGAAATTTTGAACCAAAGGATGGTATTTTTAAATTTAGAAAAAATGTTTGAGTCCCTGATGCCAAATACAAATAAAGAGCAGTATTTTATCAAGATTGATGCAAGTAGGCTTGAAAAGTGAGCTTAATAATTAGAGGTACTAGGATACAATAAACATTTGTAGAATTGAATTTGATGGTGAATTGAACTGATTTTACAACTGAAAGTTAATCTCAGGTAACAATATTGGAATGACGAATATTAATTGTACATTCTTTCAACAGCAAACATTTATTGAATACCTTCGATTCATTCAACAATCTTATATTAGGTACCTATCGTGTGCTACACTACACTAGGGAAGATTCATAAAATCCAAAGGCTTTTTTTTTTATCATGGAGTATATGGTGGAACAAGGGAGATGAGGCTTATATTGAACCAACAAACTTTTTTTTTAAATGCCATATGATAAATGCACTAAACTTGGCATTAGAAGATAGGCACAGAAAAAAATACAAGAGCTCTGCCCTCATGGAATCTATGATCATAGTAAAAGACTTGACAATCTAATATATACCAACATTGCCCATTTTTGATTGTTTTGTTTAGAATATATACATTTAAATCTAATGATTCAGGTAAGAAAAAAAACTGGAAAAAAATCCTAATATATTAAACATATCTGCACTGAAAACCCAGTATGTCTAACCTAAGAAATGTGCTTAGCTTACTGACATTTTTGTTAGATACATGGCTATTATGATATTGATAAAAGGAGGGCTAAAGAACATTCTTATAGGTCGTATATACACTGATTATGATATAAGTATGAACTATTTAGTGAATAAATTTTGAAAAAATGCATTTATTCATTTAACCAATACTGAGTCTCTATTACATGCTGATTTATAATTCATGTTATTTGTGAAAATGAAAAATAAGATGAATACTGGTCTGAATAAAGAAAAAAACTTTAAATCTGTTTAAAAAATAAATGAAGCTGGATGTTTTCCTCTTGTTTAACTTTTTTTTCTTTACTAACTTGCCTGACAAATAATTCAATAAGCTGTGTACATAAAGACAAACTTTTACAAGGCTTATTTACTCCTTCAAGCCTGTATGAAACTATTCTGCAAGCATGGAGTACATCAAACAAACAAGAGAAGACAAAATGCGGTGAGGCATAATTTGGAAAGCTTAACAGAAATATGATTTGACCAACATACTACTGGTAAATATAAGTTCTAAGCAGTTCAGAGACAGATACAAATGGCCTAGACATTATATCAGAGAAAGAAAGCAGTCTCCCAAAGTGTGATCAATGGAACACTGAACACATCTGTGTTATATGAAAAGGCATTCCATGAAAAATATTGATGTTAATAATATTCTTCTTTAAGATATCAAATGTTATGTGAAAATATGTATGAAGTGAAACAACTTTATTTTGCTTGAATTGTCACTAATTTCGCCCCTCTAGTTAGAATTGTCCCATAACCTGACTGCAAGTCATGCATTTATAAGTTCCATCAACATTTTTCAAGCCTCAGGGAATTCTATGGCCAAATTTGTTTGAGAAACTCTGGCCTAGAAGATGATTTACAAAGGTATTGGAAGTTAAAATTTAACAACCAATTTTAAAAAATAATTTTCCTAACTGTCCTCTCTCACTTCAATCTTACTAGATAAAAATAAATTTTGAAGTATGTATATTGATCTAAGAACTACTATATCTAAACAAAGTAATTCACTATGGGGAACAGTTTACCTCTTGCTTAAAAATCTAAGAGTTCAAGTTCTAGGAAAACATAACCATCAGTTCAGGCCTTTTTTTGGGGGGGGAGGAATGAGGGAACATGTGCACTTAAGAGACATCTTGGGCTCAGCAATGGTGACCAATCTTCCCCTGGTCCCCAATAGTACCAAAATCTAATCTAGAAACCATAAGGGAATAGCGGTGCAGACTCTGTGAAGAAAATAATAACAAAACCATCCATCCTCAAACCCTAAATACTATGGGAAATTTTGAGAACTGGCACCAAATAATTCTGATAGTCAGAATTCTTCATTTTCCCCCTCTTTTGAAACTCAAACATTTTAGCTTAAATATAAAGTAATGATACTTAACATTACAAAGACAAGTTATTGCACTTGATTCTCAAACCAAGCTTATGCAATAGTAAAACAAAAAAAAAATTTTAAATTTAAAAAAGGTTGGACTTGATAGGAGAATCAAGTTTGAATCTGGTCTACGCCACTTATTAACTCTGACATTGGGCAAGACACTCAAACTCTATGGATCTCATTTTTCTCATCTATAAAATGAGCAGTTTGGACAAAATAATGTCTCTCTCTTTTTTTTTTCTTTTTGGCAATTGGGGTTAAGTGACTTGCCCAGGGTCACACAGCTAGTAAGTGTCAAGTGTTTGGTCTGAGACCGGGTTTGAACTCAGGTCCTCCTGGCTCCAGGGCCAGAGCTCTATCCACTGCACCACTTAGCTGCCCCAAAAATAATCTCTTAAAGTTGCTCTAGTTCTAAATCTATGAGCCTATGATCCTCATTTTACAGATAGGGAAAATGAGGGCCAAAGAGGTTTCATAATGTATCCAAAGTCACAATCCCCCAAAAAGGGGATCTAGGATTTCAGTCCACATCTTCTAAGTTCCAATCAAGAGCACTTTCCTCTAAACCATGTGATATACATATGAAGAAGAAGAAAAAGGAGGAGGAGGAGGAGGAAAAGGAAGAGGAGAAAGTTACATAGTAGAACATAGTTGCATATAATTATTTTGTGAAAAGAGGGATATTGGGAAAAGTTCAAAATATTTGATTATTAAATGATCCCACTAAAGAAGGAAAGCATCTTTAATATTTAGATATTTGAAATTAAAATGTACCATGAGGCAATGAATTAATGTTATGATTTACAATTTTTTTCTGATTTTTTGTGCCTCATTCTTCCTTCCAAACATTCACTAATTTAAATTTAATCAGAGATTTAAAAATGTAGGCCAGATTTCTCTAGTAAATCAAAGCCAAGGGTTGAATTACTTTTCCTGATAATTCAATAAAATAATGTATATAATTCCATTTAATTACTTTAAATGTCACCTTAGTTCTATTTTTTCATGACTATGGGGACACAAAAACCCCTAAAATAATATGTTAACGAAATTTACAAAATAAACATTAAGAATGTTAGAATGAGTTGCATACGGGGGCTTCTCCAAACTAATAAAATTGCAAATCTGGTCTCTACACACACACAAAGGCATATATACATATACATACATACTGTACATATACACATATAAAACACATATAGATATCTAAACATATGCACATATATACATACACAAAATACATGTGTGCAAGTGCATTTGATATGTATATTGCATGAACCCTATGAACATTTAAAATGTTTATTCTTATTTTCAGTTGAAACACTGCTTTATAATTGTTGGAGAGAAAACTACCATAAAGAAAATTATGTTGAATTATAGTAGTGGGAAAAACTGTTCTCAAAAAGCACATCAGCACTAAAAAAATGAGTGAAGTTTTCAGATTTCCTTCGGGAGATTTTTTTCTTCAATTCTCACCTAAGATTTGTTTCACAGTCCAGATGAGGTTCAACAGTTTTGGAAAGAATGCCATTTGTTGAATCCAAAGCAAAGTAATCAGTGGCATTAACTGCAGAACTTAATATTGAAAACTAGAAAAACAAATGGTTAATATTTCAGCAAAAGTCATGTTTTGAGTCCTGGCATTGTTGAAAGAATCTTATTTGGCAAGACTTAAACAGAAATTAATTTTGTGAAGACAGTTTCCACAAAGCAAAGCAGAGCCTTCATCCAGTTCCAAACTTCAAAAACAATCGATACATTCTTTCAAACCCTTAGTTGTATGTTTCCCAATATCTCTAAGTCTCAGCATTACAGATTTTTGATAAATATTTATTGTTTGTTGAATTATTAATTGGAATTGTAATGATGAATTTTTAACTTTGATAATAAGGAAAACCATTTCCTACTTCTCTACTCAAGTAATCACCACACAAGGGAAAAGCACTGTATTATTTGGAAGAAAATACCTGATTTTAGCTCCATGTCAGTTGTCTGCACATCCAAAAGAAACTACAGCTTTGGATAAACACTGTTTTTGTGGGCATCAGCATCCTTCCACCCATAGCTGTCATTCTATGATTATAGCTAACTTTTTTAAAAGTGCAGTTGCAAACTTACTAAAAAGGCCTGCCTGACTAAAGAAAATCAAATGAAATAATAATAATACATTTTATTATCTAGACCACTCATTTTTAGTACTTATGTGCTTTTAATATGTCTAAAATAAGAATTATTCTCATATTAAAACTTTTTTTTAGCAAAGCTCCTAATGACATGAATAATAAAATAATTGCTTTCAATTTATTTCCCAACTTTTTGAGAACAAATTGGCTTATGTTGGGCTGTCTTTCATTGGGCAGCTAAATTGGTTACTTTACAATAAAATTTAATTAGAGATTATTTAAAAAAAAAGACTGGCTTTCCTCTTTCTTTCCCTGTTGTCAAGGTTTTGTTGTTTTTTCTTCCTTTGTGTATGATTTGGGGAGAGGGGGTGTGGGGATCCCTGGTGGATTAAACTAGATGAGTCTTCCAAAGTAGGCAAGCTAAGGAAGTATCTGAATATCCTCACTGCCAAGACAGATTTCACAGGGGGAAAGGGTATGTATGAGGAAAGGATAGCTGGATATTCAGAGCAATGAATGCTTCATTATAATCAATTTGCCATGTGCAAATGCTCTACTTATAGACTCAATTCTCTAGAGAGCCGTACTTTAAACTTCAGCTTTAACATCATCACTCAGGGACTTAGAAAGAGACAAACTAAAATACTCAAATAGATTTATGATTTCATCGGTATGGGTACTGCCTCCTCCAGGCCAGAGTGCAATCTCTCCATTCCTACTCATTAAGCCTGCCTCTTGTATATTCATGTTTTTCTTTAAATCTTCCACAAAGGATCTAGCCAATGCTTTTGAGGTTCTTGGGTACTTTTTCATATTTTATGAATATCAGTGCTACATATATGCTATTTATCTATTATCCTTACTTTCTCCTCATATGCTCTAACACCCTTTCCATATATACCTGCCTTGATGATGTTCACTAGAATGTAAATGGCAACACGGTCAGGGGAAGGTTGTACTCAGAATCAGGTAAGACTTGGGTTTAAATGTGTCTTGTGGCACTTGATACCTCTGTGACCACGGTCATTTCACTACTTAATATTTCCATGTTCTCCCCACCTGTAAAATGGGAATAATAATACCTCACAGGCTTATAGAAAGGATCAATTTAGGCAATGCACATAAATCACTTTATAAATCTTGAAATACTATATAAATGTCCAATATTATTTTTCTACACATTATACAGTTGGTAATATGCCATAGACTTCTTGGTACCACTATTCATCATTCCTTTGGGTCAGTTGTATTTTAAATTATTTGCCCATGATTCATGGCCATAAAGTACCTCTAGGATGATATTGGTGTCAAAAAAAATGAGCATTTCAAGAAATAGCAAGAAACTTGAAATCCTAGAAAACATTTAGCAGTTTCCTTAAAGTGATCTACCTTGATTTGCTCTTTCTATTCAGTTCTGGGCCCAACTCATTGTCCAATTGCAGTACTACTCCAATGAATATGTCTTGATACACTAATTCAAAGAGCTACAATTTCAACAGAACATGATAAATTTGGCAACACTCATTTTATTTGTTTGGTTTTTTTACTTTTTTGTTAGGCAATAGGGATTAAGTGACTAGCCCAGGGTCACACAGATAGTAAGTGTTCTGTGTCTGGGGCTGGATTCGAATTCAGATCCTCCTGAATCCGGGACTGGTACTCTACCCACTGTGCCACGCAGCTGCCTGGCAACAT